ACCAGAAGACATTTAGATCATCGCCTAATCCGTGGATACTCTGTTCTTTACACGGTTCCTTCCATGTTTACTATAAACAGTGCTGGACTGAGCTTCCATGTTCATAAATCCTAAACTGGTATTTTCCTCCTATAAACTAGAGGCACAAATATAGAATTGCTATAGCAATGAGCAGATAATTAAAAGCAAACAAACAAAAACAGCCAGATTTAATCTCACGAAAGGGTCCAGAGATTCCCATTTCCAGAGGGTGTGACAGTGTATCTTTCCCCATTGATACAGCATGAAGCACCCTCAGATGGTAAGCAGTTCAGTATCAGAGCTCCCAGCTGCAGACAAAGGCAGGCTTTGATGATGGGGGGCCTGGTGAAGATGGAGTCATGACACAAGAAGACAGACTCTGGGAACATGAGCCAGGAGACAGAACCAGCAAGGGCTCTGGGGAGAAGGGAGCAGAAGTAGCCATATCAGGATGGCCTTGCTCTCCCACAGAAAAAGGACAAAACAGTCAATGGACACATAGAAAGGGGCCTAGCAGTGTCAGAGAAAACCACCACGGAGTGCCAGGTCACATCCACGAGGCTGGGCCAAACCAAACAGGCAGACAGCCACCTGGAGAAACCGCACCTCCACACAGTGCCCGTGGGAACGTGAAGGGCTCAGTCGCTCTGATCCTTAGAAAGTCAAACACAGAGGCACCGCGGAAGCCAGCATTTCCACTCTTAGGCACAGCCCAGAGAATGAAGACGCATGCTCATGGAAAACGGCGCCCGAATGTTCAGCGTAGAATTATTCGTAACAGCTCATGGAAACCACCCCCATCTCCATCCCCTTGTGAATGAGTAAGCAAAACGAGGCCCGCTGAATAGAGGAGTATTTACCCATCAAGGGCGTGAAGCCCTGGCACAGGCTGCCGCGTGGATGAATCTCCCAAGCGCTGCCCTCCGTATGAGAAGCCAGACAGGCTAAGTAAGCAAGGGCATGTGGGGGGAGGCTGGGGGCGTCGGAGCTGGAGTCCGTGGTGCAGAGTGTTCACTGTGCCTATGCCCCACTGCATCTCATGGCATGAAACAATGTCCCAATAATGTAAAGAAAAAAAGTAACAGGAAAGATTTCCAGAAAAGACAGAGGGGGATCCAAAGCAGAGGGAAGGATCAGTTGACTCATCTCCTGTTTTTCGAGGTGGGCTTGCAACAGCGGCCACTCTTAGTAATCTCTCATCCGGGGTCTCCAGGCCATGTGGGCCTTGCATCCTAGAGTGAGAGCAATAGCCATGGGGGACATCTCCATATTCTGGTGTCTAATCTCTTGCTTGGAAAATTCAGAAATTTGAATGGTTTAAGTTGCTTGGAGCAATGCACACCCCCCCCCCCAGGCCATTTTAAAAAGGCTGACACATGAGCCCTGCAGGCAGCTTATTGGTATAGGATGAGACCACAGTGCTATGAGGTGAAGGGCCCCTGGCAGTGTCCACCACCGTCCCTCTCCGTGGAAACATTGATGGGGAGCACACACAATGGGCAGGATGCCCAGTGAGCCCAGCAACCAAGCCAGCACACTTGGAGTTGGGTCTGGGACTTCAGGGCTTAGTTCCTTCCAGATGGGAATGATATTTTTTTAAAGCTGTCTTTGTTGACAGGTATAAAGTAGGGGGAGGATCAAGACAACACAAGAGGTGGCCAACTATGAGATCTGCTTACGTCAGAGCACCGTGTGTGGCCAGCACAGTGTGGAGGTTTCTCAGAATTGGGGAATTTCAAGTCAACTCTTAAAATCAGACTGTCACTGAAAAGCCTCATTATCTGTGAAGGGATCCCCACAGAGAGCTACCCCTGAAGCTGAGTGGAGACAGGGAGCATCTCCCGTTCCCTGCAATCTCCACGATGTGCAGAGGTAAGCCTTCCTTGCTGCTCTTCAGTACCCTTGAGAGCAACGGAATCTCCTGGGGATTCCAGGAAATAGAGCCATCCAAAGCCCTGGTATATCTGATACCCTTTGCTAAGTTCTGTGTCCACTACAACAAAAGGTTGCAAGCACTGCTTTTATTTGAGTTGTGGAAACAGTTTTGTGTGTGTGTGTGTGTGTGTGTTTTAAAGAGCAGCCAGGCATGGTGGCACACGCCTGTAATCCCAGTTACTAGGGAGGCTGCAGCAGGAGTATACCTAGTCCAAGACGAGCATCTTCAGCATAGAGAGGCTCCATCTCAACAACAGCAAGGACAGGAGACCAATTAGGGGAAACAGCAGATACTGAGAGAGCACATATTTGTACCCATCCAGGCCAGGGACGTTGCCCCCTAGTTTTCTCTATCTAGGTAGCTATGATTTATGATGTTTGGTCTCCCATGACACTTTTCTCAAATGGTAATTGCGTCTATTCACCCTCCCTGCTTATTATATCATAAGCAGGAGCACTTTGCTCAAGTAAGAATTTTTAATTAAAAAATCTCCGTATATGTACGTAGTATGTATGTATATATACGTACATGCACATATTTACGTATATATATATGTAATCTTTAAAAGCAAATTTAGGGGGTTCTTTTCAGAAACAATTGACTGTGAACAAAAGGGAAGATTTTAATTTAGAGGCTCCTTATCCAAGTGAAACAGAGACATTCTTCTGCTTCTGAAAAACGATGTGTCCTGGCAGATAAATGGCACGTTCCTCCCTGCCATCCATTAGCAATGAGGACCGGGCAATTTTTTTTTTTTTTAAGGAGGGGACTAATGTGATGGGCTTGCTAGAAAAGGACCAGAGAAAGAGAAAACGGAGGCATTTTCATTTTCGTAAAGATCTGTGAAGTTTTAGGCATCAATGCTCCCGTGGGGAATCTGGCTGGTGATAAGCTGGGGACTTCTGAGCAGAGGGCAGGTGTGACGGCAGACTGCTTGCAGTGGCCCTGACTCCTTTATGTCGTCACCATGGCCCTGTGCAGCTGCTGTCCTCAGAGCTCCCTTATGAGGTCAATGTCATGATTCCCGTTTCCAGATGGCTCTCGATGGTATTAAACACCTTGCCCAGGTTACAGTGGTAGTGAGTGGCAGAGCCAGGACCTGTGCCCGGGTCTGGGAGACTCCAGGACTTCCGTGTGCTGCTGTATCTTCCCACAGATGTTGTGCCTTACAGAGAAGTTACCCCACAGTTCTGAAGGTCATGAGTAAGAGATGCGTCAGCTTCTAGAAACTCAAGGCAAAAGCCTGCCTCCTGTCTTTCCCAGCCTCCGAGGCCACCTGCGTTCCCTGGCCTGGCGTCCCCTCCTCCACCTTCAAGGCCAGCCCTTCAGCATCTCGAAGTCCCTGTGTGACATCTGCTCCTTTACTACACCTTCTCCTACTACGTCCCTCCTGCTTCACTCCTTGTAAGACCCCAGTGAGGACACTGGGCCCTACCAGGTAACCCAGGTTCATCCCCACCTCAAGATCCTTAATCCCTTCTGCAAAGTCCGCTTTTACTATGTAAGGTGACACAGTCACAGGTTCTGCAGCTCAGATGTGGTCATCTGAGAGGAGGAGTGGCATTGCTGTAGGTCCCTCCCTTATCTATCACATTCTGAGGCCTCATAAATACAGAAATTATACAAATAAACTGCGTTCCCTAGTGTATGTACTCAGCCGGGGGCTGGTGATCCCAAGGGGGCCAAAACTGGTTCTGCCGTGAGAATGGAGGGTTGTATTCTTCCTGTGTGCAGAGCGCAGGTGCCGGGCGCGCAGGTACATGGCACACGTGCGCCCCCATCACTGTGGCCAGCCGGGTTCTCTGGGCTCTCAAATGCTGCAGGCCTCCTGTGAGAAGGTGACTCCAGTTCTCTCAATTGGCCATTTTTTGTTGCTGAAAACGTTGGCTTTATCTGCTCACTCAGAGTTGGATTTGATGCTAATCCTTGCCATACTGCTCTTTGGGGGGGGGGTGCATGGCAACTTTTGTAAAAACATAAGTTGGAGAACAATTATCTTCCAGAAGGTTGAAGCCTGTTGGGGCATTTCCTCCCTGGAACATCCAGGCTTGGTCTTTATCTCTTCCTTTTAGCTTTAGGTAAGTAGCTGTCATCTCAGACGGGGCCAGGAAATGATTGCTGAATGTCACCAGGGGCTGTGGCATCTCCCGGCTCATGGCTTTCTAAATGGAACACTGTGTTCTCTTTGTAGGATGATTAATCGGGTCTGGCCTGGAGGAGGGGGAAGAGATGGCATATTTCGTGGCTTCTAACTCTGGGATTTCTGGGCCGTCAGAGATTTTGCTTTTCCTTCGGAGTTCCCAGAGTCCGCAGGTGAGCACACTCGGGGAGCCCGGCATCGGGGCAGCGGGGGAGGTGGGTCCCCTCCAAGATGGTCTGAGTGACCAAGATGCAATAGCTTCTCGTGTCATACGTGTGAAATGACATGTTCCATGTCACACATTTGGAGCGGGGATCCTGACCGAGGGCTTCTGATCCAAAGTCAAACCCCTCTGCTGCCTTATCTACTGTAATCCTGGTCTCTCCCGGCTTTCAGTCACATCTCCTCAGAAGAGATGAGGAAGGTTCTGGGTTGAATTGTACCCCCCACCCTCAAAGATATGGCAGTCCTAACCCTGTGAAAGTGACCTTATTTGGAAACAGCATCTTTGCAGATGGTCAAGTTAAGATCAGGCCAATCAGGGTGGGTCCTGGTCTAATGACTCTTTCCTTATTAAAAAGGGAAATTTAGACTCAGAGACAGAAGTGTTCAAAGGGAGGGAGGGTGCGGTGAAGGTGCAGGGAGAAGATGTATCCACAAGCCCAGGGGACAGGCCTGGGACAGCCCCCACCCCGCCCTTGGAAGGAGCCCATCCTGCCAGTGTCTCAGTTCTAACTTCTGGCCTGTGCACAGTGAGACAATACATTTCTGTTGTGTGTGGCAATTTGTTATAGCAGCTCCAGGAAACGAATTTGGGTGAACTTTCCAAGGAGTTTGGAAAGTTTGCTATGAACAGGAATGAGATGGACCAGAGAGCAGCAGCCCGCCCAGCATGGTACTGACCTTCATCGTAGTGCTGAACAGTATGGGTGGATATCATCACTGGGATCCCATTCTGATCACACACGCTGTTGGATGCCTGAAACACAACAGGTGGCTGTTACTGGGCAAGTCTTCAGGGAAAATTGGAAGAACTCCGGGAATAGCCTGAAGATCACTTCACAGAATTAAACTTCATTTACAGGCTGTTTCTAGTCACTCCTGAGCTTTCTATCATACCTCAGAGTAATGAAATAACCTCTTCAGGGCCTGGATTCTGCCCCCGCCCCCCCAATGCACTCTCTGGTTTATGCCTGTCTTAGTGAGTGTCACAGTCAGGCAGGCACCTGCCCTGGGGCACTGAGGCTCCTGGGCTCTTTCCTAATCAGGATGGAGCAAAAATTTAACATGCTGATTCCCAAACCTGGGGGTTAGCTCACTCCACCACCTGGCACACACCAACACAACCATCAGCCAGGATGCTGGTCAACAAGCCTGTCAGATTCAGGAGGTGCAGTGTTGTGTGCGTGTGTTGTGTGTGTGTGTGTTTTGTGTACTCTTCTTCATACTCCCTCTCTTTATCTTCATTGTTGTAAACACTTTATAATTTCAGGGCACTGCCCTGATTATTTTCCTCTTCTGTTACTTAGTATAGATACTTTCAAAGATTATAAAGACACATATACACACAAACGTTCATACTCACATGGGAAGAAAAACAGTTGCACAAGAGTATGTCATATAATGCCGTTTTGTGATCCAATAATGTAATTATACTCCTAATCATATATCAATCGAATCTAAATTATGTTAAGTATTTAACATACTATCTTGTTTTGATACTACTATTAATAGTAAGAACATGTACTAATAAATACAGAAGATAAAAAACTAAAGGCCAGCTCCTAAAGGTGGGACTCTCCTCCTGTGGAGGGAGGAGAGAGAAGGCTTCCCTTTGTGTTTTGTAATGGTCATAATTGTTTAAAATAAGTCTGTGTTCTCAAATCTACAAACACCATACCAAGAAAACATCAGACCACATGGCTCAGACGATGCTACCAGCTCTCCCGGGGGTCAATATTTATATAAATTTGATGTATTGAGTAAATAGACTATCTTAAATATTTCAGAATCAATTGCCTTTTTTAAAAAAATTGGGGGCTGGAGATGTGACTCAAGCGGTAGCGCGCTCGCCTGGCATGCGTGGGGCGCTAGGTTCGATCCTCAGCACCACATAAAAATAAAATAAAGATGTTGTGTCCACCGAAAACTGAAAAATAAATATTAAAAAATTCTCTCTCTTAAAAAAAATTGGCAGATTTCATTACCACTGTTTACTAATTCCTAATGAACAACAAGAATCTGAGAATGCCAGCCATCCTGGTGAGTGCGTTGGCGGGGGCTATGGCCTTCCTGGTGGTGCGAGTTGGCTGGGCCCACCGATGGGCTGCTGGCCTCCAGTTCTCTGCCTGCATTGCCTGGCTCCTGGAGGCCTGAGCTAAGCAGGCTTATCTGGACTTGGAACCATCTGGGGATTTGGGAAACCTGCAGTGCCCACCCCACGACCAGAGGTTATGATTTTAGGAGGTCTCAGGTGGGGCCTGGCATCGGGAGTTTCCAGAGCATCCCAGGTCATGCTAATATACACGCAGGTTGAGGCCCAAGCTGTGAGCATTCTCCTTCCCAGGCTTTCTTCAAACCCAGTCTTCTGTTCTGAGTAGGAAGCCCCTCTCCTCTGTGATCAACTTGCACGCATAGGTGTTTTTCCTGTCCGGATTTCCTCATTTAGCAAGGCTCCCAGCGTTAGGCTGAATTGATATAAAAGTACTGATGGTAGAAATTTAGTTTGCTTCTGGAAGTAGAAGGTCCAAGAAGAAACAAGAGTGTCCCTGGCCTCAGCTCTTGAATCAGCATGGGAGAGGGACCCCTCGTTAGCAAGACTGCATACTCCAACAGCAGGGAGCTTTGAAAACCCCCAGCCTGCTTAGCTCCCCCACAGTTTCTGGCTGAACTGGTGTAGAGGGCAACGCAGGCATCGCCAGACAGTGGTGTCTAAAGTGCAGCTGAGATCTGGAACCATGGATGCAAACCTGGGTTCTCACCCTCAGCCCTGTGTACATGTTGGGGCAGATAATGGTTTAGTTATGGAGTGGAACCACCTGTGTATTACAGCATGTGCAGCAGCAGCCCTGGTCTCTGTGCCTTAGACACCAGAAACACCCCTCCTGGGATGTGACTATCAAAAATATCCCCAGACATTGATAGGTGTCCCTGCAAGGATCGGCTGACAAGATGCTACAGTTGAGAGCCCATCTGGGAGTAGGTGACGAACTGGCTTCCTAGGGACCAACCACCTGTGTTCCAGAGGTGCCCATCTCTGCAATTTCTCATCGAGACTGAAGCAGAGCCCCAGAACCTGCATTTTTAAGCAGCTCCTTGATGGACCCCAGAGGTCTGAGAAGCCAAACAGCAATGAGGACAGGAGTCCTTCTCCAGCATGGCTGTGACGAGCACTGGGCAGTCATTGCAGCTTCTGTCTGTGACCACTACCAGCAGCCAGTTCCCCGTGTCCGCAGTGGCCCTACCTTGTAAGCCTCCGTTTCCGATTCTTTCTCTTGGTCTTCAACTCTTTGTGGAACGCTCATTTGGTTGCCCATTGTTCCTGCATTAGACAAAGAAAGAGACAGGGGGAGAGAAAGGAATGAAACCCAAGCCAAACCAAAGTCTTCAATTGACACTTGCAGCCAAGCAGCAGACCCCCAACAGGTGGCTCTTGGATGTTATCACGGGCCCAGGTTAGAACAGGGTGCTTATGTTCGCTTTGGGGGATGAGGGGGAGATTTTGGATCCTCACACACAACAGTCAAATGGCAGCTTTCAGTAGCATGTCATTGCTGGGGAAAAATATTTATCAACGTGAAAAGGGTATTGAGGGCAAAAGATGTTTTCTTCCACTTTTAGTGGGATTCCCAGCTATTCTATCAAGGAGACCTTAGAATAAGAGTAATTGGAATAATACTTAGGATTTTACTTTCTTCTGATCCTCACTAAATTAATCCCATTAAAGCCTCTCATAGTGCTGGCATCTCTTTTTTACATTACATGATAGAGGACAGGGTGGCAGTGTGGGTAGGAGGGTTCTGGATGACCACTGACATGGTCACTGTCCCAGACTTGGAGTGTCCCCAGGCCAGGGCCGAGTCTGCCTTCTCCAGCATTTTATCTCCTATTTCTAGTAGTGTGTCTGCATTTATTAGGAGCTTAGGGGTTATGTGTGAGTTGACTGGAGGGAAGAACCATTAGTAACTGTCTCCTGTGTCAGACCCTGACCCAGGCAATGCCACACCATCTTTTCTCTCAGAGCCTTGGTGTGTCATAGTGATGATGTGACCCATTGGCCCGATAGGGACCCCAACCATGGTTTCCAGGCACTTGGCCCACATGGACTCATTCCTCCCTGCAGTGCCTCAGAGCTCTGGCAGGCAGACGGACAAGCACATAGAAAATGAGGCCAATAAATACCTGCAAAACAGGTATTACTGCCATCTCATTCTTGACATGAGGAAGTTGAAGCCCAAGGAGGTTAAAATGCTTCTCACAGTTAATGGGGTAGAGGCAAGAGATGGGCACCGTCTGCTCCAGAATGTTCTGCATATTATTACCTCCCCTTGGAAAGAAGGGAATCGAGGCTCCAAAGGTCACCAAGGACACAGCCACAACATGGCACAGTGGGGGCTGGATGCCGAGTATGTCTGATCCTAGAACTAGAGCCCTTTCCCCCACTCCAAAGACCCGCCGTCTCACTACCCCACATTCTTTTTCCAGTTAGCCCTTCTCCAAAGTCGGGCCACTGGTTCATGTGCTCCAGTGGCTTTCAGAATAAAAACTAGGAGTTTTGGTTTCTGGCTGACAGCAGTCAATGTGTCTGCAAGGATTCCTGTGGGCTTCTCACCCTGGATGTGAGTTTTTAATTCCCAGTAAAAGATACGTGGAGAAATCAGAATTTAGGGAGGCTAAGAAAGGGCCATGGCTCCCACCACCTGCTCTCTCAGAGGAATTTGGTACCTGATCACATCCGGGGACTTTGTGTGTCTTCTGATCACACGGTGTCACAAAGCTGAGCACTATTGAAACCCACAGCACACTTGTTATTCTGCAACATTTCACGATGTGCATGCTTATAATGGGCCATCACTTCCATCTATAAATGGGACATTATGAATATAATGCAAGATCCTCAAGTCCAGGTCAGTAAACAAAGCTGTGGCCAAATTCAGCTCACGGCCTGTTCCAGTACCGCCCTTGAGCTAAGGATGGGCTTCATATTTATAAACAGTTGAAAGAATTCAGATAAAGAATCATGAGGTGCGATACATGAGCATCATATGAAGGTCAAATTTCAGCATCCGTGGTTGGAGTTTCTTTGGAAGACAGCCCTGCCCATTTACTGATACATTGTCTAGAATGCTTTTATGCTACAATGTCAGAGTCGAGTTGTGACAGAAAACATGGTCTCTACAGCTTAAGATAGTTACTATTGGGCCCTCTCCAAAAAGGTCACTGACCCCGCTCAGGATCGACCTTGGGGAATGAGGCATCTGAGAGATTAAACGCTGCCCCTGGTAAGACTGGCCAGGATTGCAACGTACTGTACACAAAAGTGATACGAAAACTCTAGTAAGCACAGTCATGATAAAGCAATAATAGTAACATCATTTAGTTAGAGTGCTCCATGTGTCAAGATGAGGTTCTAAGAGCTTCACTTGTTGTGAAGCTAATTTACTCCTTGTAACACATCAGCAAGGCAGTGGAATTATCATTCTAGATTTTCAGACGAGGAAAATGAGGTATATAGGTTAAATGTTTTGGCCACGGTCATACATAAACAAGAGCATACGTATATACACATGCAAGAATATATTTACTCACCAAATTTCTCCATCTATATTTAGCTTTTAACAGGTTTAACATTATTATTTAATGATGGGCCTACAAACATTGTAAGTATTCATTTGAATTTGATCCTTTTGGGGAGCTACTTTCAATAAGTGCTTAAGGTTATGATGTATCTGGGGCTGGGAGGTGGGGGATATCTGCAGGCAGAAGAGAACTTCTCCCCCCACGGAGCTGGGGTTACATGATCCTGATCACTGTGCATTTTAAGTGGCCTCTTGGCAGCTTCAGGGCCAAGGGGACTGAAAGGAGAATCCAGCCACACATCTTCTGCAGGGATCACCTGGAATCAGGTAACACCCCTTCTCATCAGCTGTTAGAGCTTGTGAAACTGCTCCTGCCTGCCTGACCTTCAGTTTGTAAAGAGCAGGATTTATATGGAACAAAAGCAAAAGGCTGCTGCTGCCACCTATTGGCGGATACACGAATTTACCCCACCTGCAGGCTAGGTCAGAGTGAGTGGGTGGGGAAGGTTTGATGATTGGCAGTTACTCCTCTGCTAACCCTTGGCAAGAGGACTACAAGTCCTCCGATGCCAAAAGGTAATTTAACTAATAAAGTAGTAATGATCACCACAGCTGAGGGGCATGGGGAGCCCCACCACGGGCTAGCCCTGTGTCCACCGCCCTGGATATAGCACAGCGTGACTCAAAGATAGGGATCTGGGCTCTGGCGTTTGGGACCCCTACTGACCACATGCTGAAGGAGTGGTGTGGGTGCGTTTCTGAGCCTCCCTGGGCCTCAGTTTCCTCCTCTGTAAACTGAGATAGTAATAGGCCTCATCTCAAGGGGTTGTTATAATAATTAAGCCCCAAACAGGGCCTGTAAGTGCTGGTCATGAATAGCATTATTGTTGTTATTATCACTGCTGTTCACAGTCAGATTGCCCCGAAGTTCCCTGATAGAACCCACTGAGGAATTTGGCAGCATCTCTGATCCCCAAGACCCTCTCACCCAAGTCAGGTTGGGGTCCTGGAAGCTGTACTTGTAGCAATTGCTGCAGTGATTCTTGTTATCAGTTACCTATAGAAAATACTAGAATGGTGACTGTATTCGAGGTTGTCCCAGGAAGGAGGACCTTCTGGGATTGCAGGACTTTCATGTTAGAGCCACAAAGTCCTGGGAAACCAGAATGACTTGGGGACCACATGAGCCGCTCAGGACTCTGAGGCAGGGACCCTTTATGCCTGTAACTAGACGCGAGGCAGCTCAGACAGTGATCCTATCTGTGATGAAGTTGTCTCCAGTCGTCCCCAACATGAGAAAAATCAACCAGATAGGGAGTTTTTCCTGATAAACTAATTCAATCAGAAGAGCTGGCTTTGTTTTGAAGAGAGAGAGTGGGGCGGGGGGAGAGTAAATTAAGTGTAGGTGTGGTGTTTAAACACCCTTTCTTCATGAAGCATTGATACTCTTTGTTTTGCTTTTACAGTCTGATTCAACATTAAGCCCTGTAAGCTACCTGAGGGCAGGATTTTGTTTTTGAAACTGGATCCATGTTTGAGGCCCCACCACTTGGCAAGTGTGGGTTGGGGCTACTGTTGGGGTTCAGGGGAAAATGCTTCTTTGCTTCCCCCTCCTGCCTCAGGTCTTGGGACCGGTCCTCAGACTGGGTAGTGCGTAGTATCCCCTGCATATGGCATTTTGAGGCCTCTGTGCCCAGGCCTCAGCCAGGCTGAGTGCAGGGATTCTTAGCTGGGGTTCCACACCATGAGCTTCAAGCTTTCCAGTTGGGTGTCTGGGGTTGACCACCGCTGCTGTGGACATGTTGGGGGTAAGCAGGCAATCATCCTCCTGGGCTAGAACTCTTTCCTGAATGCTGCCTATCCTGACATAGAAAGCCAGGCTTAGGGATTCTCAAGTGGAAAATAATGACCTTGGCCTTCAAGGGCAACAAATTGCGGCTGGCCTGGGCTTCTTCAAACATCCACTACCTTCTAGTGTACTGTGTTGCTAGCTACGGTCTTGTCAGCCTATAAACCCAGAGGAACATCCTGCCTCCGCTTTCCTCCACCCAGGGTGTGTGTGTGTGTGTGTGTGTGTGTGTGTGTGTGTGTGTGTGGTCATGCCTGCTGCTAAGCCTCTTCCCTTCCAGATGGAGGTGCAGAAGTGGGGACAGGCCCTGTGAAAGGAAGTGAGGCTGCCTGAGTCCAGCAACTGTGCTCTGCTCCTTCACCAGGGGAGAATGAATGCAGTGAGACAGGCCTCGCTAATGTCCCCAGATCATGAGCTCTAGCAGGGCACCTGATCCTTCTGACCACATCTTCCTTGTGGAAAATGGCAGTGACAGTAGTAGCAGCTGTGGACTTTTCTGTGTGCATGCAGTTCTGATTGCCAGGTTTGGCTTCTCTTGGTTCTCCAGGTAACCTTCTGTGTTACTTTATTTCACCAATTTTCTGATGAGAAATTGAGGCGGGAAAGGTTTCAGTACTTACTGTACTGTCTTCAGACATCATGGTATTTTAGGGAGGGTTAGATGAGACAGGCATGTGCCTAACCCCCATGCATTTGGAGGGAGAGCCTATAACCAATCAATCAAGGTTAAATGAAGTTATAAGGGTGGGGCCCCCCTCCAACAGGATTAGTGTCCCTAGGAGATGAGACACCAAAAGACTCCCTTTCACTTACTCTTTGACATGAGAATGCGTAGCTAGAAGGTAGCTATCCCAAGTCAGGAAGGGGCCTCTGTCCAGAACCTATTGACCCAAGCTTTGATCTTGGATTCCTAGCCTCCAGGACTTTGGGAAAGTAAATGTCTATAGTTCAAACCACCCCTTGTCCATCCCCGACCTATGGTATTTTTGTTATTGCAGCCCAAGTAGACTAACACTGACCATCTGCTATTAAGTGGGAGAATCAAGACCTAAATTTTGGAACAGGGTCCCAGACTTTTAGCTTTCACTGTCATACTTTCTCCTATCTCTCCTGCATGCAAATTATGCTATAATAATGTTAAATACTTACATGTAATATGGTAGAACATAGAATATAAAGTGTTTGTAGCATTTCCATTTTTTGTGATAAGAAAATTATAACTAATCAAGGAGCATGGTATGATCTAAAGTGAGGAATGCGAAATGAAAAGTTCCCTGGTAATCACAATGTTGAACACAGGGCTTGGCAGGAGACAGATGTGCAAACGTTAGCTACCACTAACATTTACTTATTTCTCTTGGTAGCCTTATGATCAGATCTTGGTGTCCCGATTCATGAGTCAACCTGCCGCTCTGGAAGTCACCTGGAGCCCCGTCTTCCACACCAGTGGGGGTGCCTCTGACCCCTCAGGTACAGATTGGCAACGAGCCCTCCTGGGAGCAAGCCAACCCCAGCACCATTCAAGCCAGTGGAGAAAGATGTTTCTGAGGCTCCTCACCAGTGAGTGGTGTTGAGCGACTGTGGAGTGGAAGGGGAGGTCCCTGAAGGGTGGAATGGTGACAGAATGAGTCACCGAGTAAACAGGAAACACCTTCCATCAACTCAATGGAATGTAGGCACACAGTGGGCCCTCCCAGCTGAGCCTAGGCCAACATGGTGAGGCTGGCACACCCTGCAGATCAGCTGTGGCCCCAGCCCCCAACCCCAGGGCAAGGTCAATATGTGAATGAGTAAAGAGAACAGATCCACCCTGCCAGGTCCTACATCCTGCACCTGTGGCCCTCCGAGCCCCAACATAAAGCCAGGAATGCGGTGGCGATTATCAAGCGTGCCTTGTACAGAGGTGCAGGCTGCTTTCTGCTCCCTGAGGTGCAGAGGACTAAAATGCAGCCCTCAGTGGGCCTCCCAACCCAGAGCCCTGGGGTGGGATGTCCTGAGCCCAGGGAAAGGGGTACTTTCATTGGAGTCTGCTGAGCGCTCCGGAATGCTTGCTGATGAATTTGTTGCTCGATTGTGTTTGCGTAAGTGGTAGATGATCCTAGGAGGCACAGCGCTCTCCGTCTGATTCTTAGTATTGCACCAAACATCTTTAAGCTAATAATAACAGAGGGGCACTAATTGAAGGCTTGCTATGTGCCTGGCAGGGCCAGGTTTGGTGAGCAGAATGCCAAGTGCAAGATCCCTCTCAGGCGGGGAAGGAGCAGAATCAGCCCTGAAGAGTGAGTGCCTCTCTGCATCTTCCCTGGCTTCACCCTTGTCCTGGCCCTGGTGCCAGGCATGCCCGTGCTGGGTCTCCTTTTCCCTTACAGAAGCCCATTAGCCCCCATTCCCTAGATGGAGAAACTGAGGCCCTGAGGGCAGTGCCTTGCCTGTGCACAGGAGTCAAGCCCCATTTGTTGGTTCAATGGATAAAGAAGAAGAACAGGCAGAAAGCTACGGAGACTTAGTGCCACGGGACTTGGGCACTGATCCTTAACACCCCACAGCACAGCAGTCGGCTGAGACAAGAGAAGCTGCCGTCACTGAGATCGGTCGTCGTCACACACTGACAAGCAGCAGGACAGGGGAGCCCAAACAGGGAGTCGGCCTTCCAAAAGCCTGTGCCTCCCTCTCACAGTGCATCTTGTCATACATCAGCCAGGAAGGAAGGGTGCACAGGCCCACTCTTTTGTTGCAAAGCACAGACCCTTTTTCTAAAAAGAAAATGATCCTGGGGTCTCAGAACTCTTTGGAAAAAAGAATCCTCTGTGATTTAGGACATTTGTCCATCTCTCCCACTCTTTCTTACATTGGAAAGCACTCTAGGATGTGCCTCTCTTGTCTTTTATCTAGGGGGAAGGTGGGGTATACATACGCACCAGGGCTTTCAGCCAGCTGGGGCACAGCATGCTGGGATTGGGTGAGGCCCTGAAGGAGTGCGCTGAGCCTCAGTTATCAAGAAGGGTGCTATTTTAACACAGTTGTTGCAAGCCAAAATTAATGTTGTCACTGATCTTATTTTTGCTGAGTGGGTGAAGGTTTTGTTCATCACGGCTAGCTTGACATTGACGTTTACTTTTTAGATTTGTCGTAGAATTGATCTTGATGGCTGGGTTTCTCGGTGGCCCTTCAGTTTGGCCCACTCACTTCCTCTTTCCCACCAGCCTTGACTGGATCCCACAGCTTCCTGTCTGAGAGACCCTGGGAACAGTCCCTCCCCGCCCCAGCAAACTTGCTTCTTTGGACTGTAAGATGGAGCCGAGGGGTGAGGCAGGAGCCAAAGCGGCAGCTGGAGTTACTAGGGCAGAGGTGTCTGGGCATTAGTCCTCTCGGTCCTTTGATGTCAGTGCGGTTACATCCATTGTACGGATGAGGAAGCTGAGCCCCAGAGGGCTGAAGGAGGTTGCCTCAGGCACCTGGCCAGCTGTGGTGGGTCTGAGCTTGGCATCCTGAGGTCTGCCTCCTGGGCACCCGGGTTCTCCTCCCTCTGGCTTTTCCAGGCAGGAAAGTGGCTCAGAGGCTGATGCAAACACCCATGGTCACGCAGAGGGGGTTGGAATCCAGCTCCTGCCTCACAGAGTGATCTTGAAGGCAACTATGATAATTTGCAGGAAGAACCAGATTGACAGAAGACACTGAGTCCTTTTTCATCTCCTCTGGCTCTTAAATAGGTGCAGACTCAAAATCTGCTTCCTTCCAGGGAATGCTTACCCTGACAGAGGCCCCCAAATTACACAGCATGCCCTTTTGACGGCCGCCCTGCCCTGTGTCCTGCAGTGACCCTCAGTGGTTCCATGCAAATAGGAGCAGTTTCCGTAGCCATGGGCCCGACTCTGCTCCCACGGCCGCTAAGTCCTTGTAAAACTAAAACGTTTAGGAAGTGCTACCTTTGAATCCATTTCACAGAGGGCCAAACAGAGGCTCTCAGACGCATACCCAAGATGCACAGTAGATAAGCAACAGAGCAGGGGTCAAACTCAGCCCTCCAGCCTGCACCTCTCCATTCCACCACCAACCACAACCAGGTCCCCGGCTCTGAAATGGTTACCTGTGGGATCCCCGGTGGGAGTAGCTTTGGTCTCTGGGAGTCCCCTGCCGCTTCTCCTGCTCTGGGTTCTGAGTCTCCAGCTAGTGCTGCCCAATACCAGGCTAGCAGTTGAGCCCTCTGCTTCCTGGTCTGCTGGGGCCTGCTGCTGAATACACAGCGCAGGGCAAACACAAGCCTGGGTGGAGTCCTGCCCTCCCCTCGGGTCCTATAGAAGCAGGTGCTCTTCCTGGACTCGGCTTCCTTCACCTCTCCAAGAACAACAAGGCACCTGAATTCTCACACACTGACGCCTCCCTGGCACTCCAAACATCTTGTCCAGAGCCCCTCGCCCGCCGGATGCCAAGGTGGCCTTGGGCAGCCAGTCCCCTTCCCTAGTAGCTATGGGTCCTGGTCAGAGCAGGGAAAACGAGGACCGTGAGCTCTGGCAGTTCTGCCCGCCTCCCACCCTCCTGTCTCCCAGGCCTGACCCCCAAGTGGAAGGAAATCACGTCCTGCTGAACACCAGGCCTGGAATCCTTGTCCCTAGAGGGCTTTGGACGTGTGAGGCAGGTGACCTAAAGGGTGGCCTTCTGAAGGCAGAACATAACATTGGAAAAGGCGTTCTTTTCCTCTGCAGGCCAGAAATTCAAGACAGGTTACTTAATTAGTTTTATCTCAGTAAGGATGTTTATTCAAGGCTCTTGTGAGAACATACGGAACACATTAGGAGAACATAAATTAAAACACGGAAAGAGAAACCGGGGTGCAGTGGCGAATGCCTGTAATCCCAGCTGTTCAGAAGGCCGAGGCAGGAGGATCGCGAATGTGAGGCCAGTCTGGATGACTTAGTGAGACCCTGCCTCAAAATAAAAAATAAAAAGTGCTGGGGGTGTAGCTCAGTGGTAAAGCACTAGCATTCACAGGACCCTAGGAGTCCCCATACCAACCACATTCAAGGCAAAAAAAAAAAGAGAGACGCAAGGTGAGGACATCAAATGGGAACAGGATCAAAAATAAACTGCATGTTGAGTCACAGTCTTTCTCTGGAGGGTACACAAGCGTGACTTGAGCTTCCTAGTAGCCAAAGCAAAAGGAAAACATGCTCAGTTACACTGCTCAGGGCTCTTGAGGAAACACTGGGGAGAGACGCAACTAGTAATTATGGTGGCTTCACGCCACACTGTGCTCGGGCCAGCACTCATCCCGAGGACACCAGGCTACAGATAGGCCGGGGCTGAGAGAAGTGGATCAGGGAGGCCCTGTGGCCACCCTCCCTGGGCTCATTGTCATAGAACGTGAAGGAAGAATCACAAAGCACTGTCCTCATGGTGAAGGAAGAGCCCCGTGGTCCAGGTGCACACAGAGGGAGCCGGGAGGGTATTTCAGAAGCTGATTTTAAGGGGTAAAACACTAGTTCCATGATGGGAGCTGTCAGGACCAGGCGCCATAATTAGGGCAACAAATGTGACTCTAGCTCAGCGCTGTGCACTCAAAGCTGGGACATAACAAACCCAATTATTAGGCAGCTGCTGTGTACACACAATGTGCCAGCGTAAGCCCCGGAGGCAGCCTGGCCTGGCCCTGGGCTCGGATCCTGATTCCGTAGACCAGCTGTGTGGTTCTGAGCAGGTCGCATTAACTCCCAGCTCTCCAACAGCCCCGGGGCTGTGAGTTCCTTCGTGTTTGTTCTGCACCTGTTTTTGTGTCTCCCACTCACTATAAACCGAGCATGGTGACCTGTCTGTGGTGGAGCAGGTCTCTGCGCCACTGGCTGTTCACTCTCAAGTTACACATGACAAGAGCTACCACGTGGGTGGCCTGTTACTCTTTGCAAAGCTTCGGAATCCATCCGTCCATCTATCCATCCATCCATCCGTCCATCCATTCACCTCATTTATGTGTAGATCAGATTGGGATTTTCTTGCATCCATTTTATAGAATATGAGGTTCAGGGCTTTAATGATTAGGTAGTGAAAGAAAACCATCCGGCAGGGCCTGAGCCGTGTGTCAGGCAGACGGCAGACCGTCCCAGGTGCTGCCCACAGGAGTCAGAGCAGTGGCGGAGGCTGGCCAGGCTACTCAATCTGTATGACCCAGTGCAAAATCAAAACGACACGCCCCTTCTTCTGAACGCAGGGGAAGGTACTACTAACAGATTTAAAACGGTTTTCTCCTTTATTCCACGTTCTTGCCCTCTGTACTTTTCACATATCTGCTATTCTAAGTCATTCCAAGTAAAGAAAAAGTAAAAACTTAAACTATCACTATGAAATTTCTCGTTTGCCTTTAGGTTGTGCAGGGCTGCTTTGAAACGCCCTGAACTCCCGTGCAGAATCGCCACAGTCACACGGGGGCCTCCAGCTGGTGCACACAGGCGTATTTCGCTCTTACAAAACAGTGTAAGCGCTGCACAAAACCACCCGGCTGTTCCTACCTCCCTTCTCCCCGTCCTGCCTTCCACCGACACGGCCACCCTGGGCTTCCTGACGAGTGAGGGGGCTGGATGGAAGCAGCCTCCGGGTTTCTGGTCTCTTTCTTTCAAAGTCACAGTGGTCAGCAGAAGTGGGCAGCGTGACAAAGGAAGGATGAGCCAGCTCCTGGGGGACATTGCCCTCATCCAGGCTGGGGACAATTTCTGATTTGAAGGGAAAGTGTGGGTTCCCAGGACTGTTGGTGCCCAACACACTCATTTGTTAATGTCACACTTGTACCTTTCACCTGCCTTCGGGCTTGCTCACACCCCACGTGGAGAGCCCCTGGAATTGTGTCTTGGTGGCATCATGACTGCTGAGTGTGGACGGTGGCAAGGATCAGCAGGCCTGTGTGCTGTGTGCCTCTGTGCCCTGGTCTATTGTCGGTCAGATGTTCTTGTATCACCCAAGTTCAAAGAGAGCACTATTAAGAATTTCAAGATGGCGGCCACAGAGTGGTAGGCCGCGACCAGGGCCCTTGGAGAGTGCAGACGTGGTGGGAGACTTGCCTCCTGGTATGGACTTGGCAGTGGGGTCTCAGTGGAGCTCCCTCGAACACCTGCTTCATGTGCTCACCCTCACGCCCTGACTTGGTTCACCTCCTAATCGTCTCGCCTTACCATCTCCACCCCTCTTCAAATATTGACAAGCTCATGAAGTTGTCAGCTGCTGTTATCAAACTGCTTTCCCCAGCATCTGGTTGGGGCTGTTTGTTGAGTGGAAGGAGTCGTGGAATTCTGAAGTCTCCCTGGTGGGCCTTTCCAGGCCAGGCCCTGGGCAGCTCTGCTTATGATCCAATCTCCTCCACCTAGACCTTGCTCACTGAGCTAACCTCAACCATGTTTTCCATCAGGGAGCCCAAGGGGCACCACTCAGAGGTTAAAGGTGGTCATGCACACGTGGCCTGTGGATGAGAGTCTGGAAGCCCACCCTGCTGCAGCTGAGAGAGTAAACCTGACATGGACCTTTGTCTTTTCGTGTCTGTTCATCCTTGGCATTTTTCAGATTACTTTCCTGCACTTTATCTGATGTACTCATTATTATTATCCTATGACTTTAGTGTCCATTTGAGTGAAGAGGAAACAAAAGTTCAAAGAAGATCAATGACTTATTCATTTTAAACCATGGGCTTGAATCAGACATCTCAAGGAGAAACCCAGGGCTCACTCTTGGGTAGAAACCCAAATCTATAGTCACTCAGCCCAAGAAAGAATTCTGGCCTCGATGCAGATTAGTTGTGTGACCTTGGGCAGATTGCTTGCCCTCTCTGTGCTTTGGTTTTATCATATATAAAATGGGAATACTGGCAGAAGTGAAACCACAAAGTTGCTGTGGCAGTTAAATGAGAAAACGCTTGACGTGGTGCCGGGGTCACAGCCTGAGTGGTTAGCCACAGCCACGAAGGGATGGAGCTGGGATTTAAACATGTGCCATCGGCTTCAGAACTGATGCTCTTTACAACAAAGCTTTCAGTATGCACATACAAAAATACAAAGGATATAGACACACATGAGCAGATAAACACACCAGTAAACAGTTAAAGGAGGATGAAAAGTGGAATCCGCACTTGGACCTCCTAGTGTCGGTGACTTGATCGTGCTTATCTGTTTGAAATCTCTGAGCTTTGCACTGTATTTTTAACTTAATATTTCAGGAACTACCTTGATGCTCCTGCACACCCCATGGTGTGCAGCTCACACTGGGCTGTGAGAACACTGTGCAAGGACAGGTCAGAGATACTTCTGTTGAGAGCAGCCTCCCCCAGCACTGGAGAGGGGGGTCTGCTGCCGTAACTTCCCCTCCTCCTGCACCATGCTGTCCATCACGGGTGCTGCCTAGGAGGGCAGGGTAGCAAGAGGGTGCAAAGCAGGGCCTGGAACCAGAGGCCTCTATACAGCCTCATTTACCTTTGGGCTGTGGAGCTGAGTGACAACCATGGTCACACAATGTTAAACACGGACTTAACTTTAAGTCCCCATGTGGACTTAAAAGCCATTGAAGTGGTAAATTTTATGTTATGCCTATTTTATTACAATGCAAGATGCCTCATTGTTGGGTTCCTCGAGACAAAAAACACTCAGGGTCACTCCAGGGGAACTGGGCTGCATGAAATGACCACACAAGTGACAGAGATACCTTTTTCTTTGGGAGTCCTGGACGGCTCCTCTGACCTTAAGGGTCTGCAGAAAGAGAGCGAGTGAGCGCATACTGAACCCTTTTATTGAGGAGAAGCCATTCAAATGAGGCAAGGGGTCAGGTTTTGGGGGGTTGAGTCTAACTTTGTGATGTCTGCTGTCAGCAGGTTGACTGTCATCTAGAAGGCCACACCCAAAGGCAGAGCAAGAGAAGGGGACACACAAAGGGCGTTTCCATGGAACATTCTATTCCAAACAGGGCAAAGGTGTAATATCACAAAGGAAGAGGTAAGTGTAACTCAATCCATGGGGCCACACGCCTATGTCTGAAGACACATTCTGCTACTTCGAGGATCAGGGCAATATCCAGGTCACTATGAAAGTGACCCACAGAACCTCTCTGATCACGGGAAGGAGTATGTGAAATCATTCAGACTGGCTGCCCACACCTCATTAAAATTTGAATACCTGATAAAATAATGATTACTTTTTTCCATGATTCCAAATTCTGCATCAGAACAGCCTGAGTGTATCCCAGGCACTGTTTCAGATAAGGTAGT